GGGGGCGGGCGCCTCAGGCCACACGCGCTTTGATGGGCCGCAGCCGGGGGCTTCCGCCACTCTCCCGGGCCGGCGCCCTTTTCTTCCGCCCGAGCGGAGTCCTCTGCCCGCCCTGAGGGCCTCGCTCGACTTTGCCCGCTGCCGGAGCCTCTCGGGCGGCCCGGCGCCGAGTCCGGGAGCGGCCGCGCAGGCCGGGAGGCTCTCCCGCCTCGCCTCGCGCTCAGTCGGAAAGAAGGCCGCCCGTGGCCGCGCTGCACGGAGCGGCGCCGGGACGGTCGCCGTGCGCAATACGGCAGGAAGTCAAGGAGTGGCGCGTTCCCGGGTTACCCGAGCGGGTCCGGGACGGGAGCGCCACGATGACGCTCGGCCGCCACCCCGTCAGCGCGTTCCAGAGGAGAGTCGCGTCCCGTCGCGTCCTGCTTTGGGCCCGTCATTTACGAGGCTAGAGATGCCCGATTTTCTCCCCGTGGCGGCCGCTTGCTTTATTTTTCATTTGCCAAGGTGACTTTTGCCCAGCGCCAGAGAAGCAATGAGAAATAAGCAAAACACATTTACACAGTAGGCATTATTTGAAATCATAAACCAGCAGCAAATGTGTTTATTAAGAGGAACAATGACCAATTCTGGAATTTTTTGAGGAAGGTAGGCAGGACAGTTGAGCTGTTACTTTCTGAAATCCAGAACAGATTCTGATGGAGAAACAACTGAAAACAAGGAATAATTCTTCACAAAGATGTGCTTTTGCACTGAGGAGGAGAAGAAAAGTATCTGACAAGGGTGGGTTGAAACCACCATCCTTTTTCTTTCTGAGGCATTAAGCAGCAACATCCTTCCAATATGCCAGTATCTACTTTTCAGGATCCTTTGGTTTATTCCAGCAGCTTCCCCCTCTCTAGTTTATACGAGGCACAGGTTTTCTCCAGAGCAAAGGTTGCTTCAGTATACAGGATACCTGGTGCAGTGGATTTTTTTTTTTAATAAAGAATACTACAGGCTGCCCTTTTTTCTTTCCGTCTCTGTGAAATACAGTGATTATCATGAGCAGTTCAGAGGTAGTGAAGATGTGGAGTCAGGGTTGTGTGCAACAAAGCCAAAACGTCATGCCAAACTGAATCTTTGCAGATTCTGTGATGAATTAAGCAGCAAAGCAAGCTTTTAGTTCATTTGATGCATCTGCTTAACCAGCAAACCTCTGAGGTATACAGATGTTTGTTCTAGTCAGCAAATAATTTGAAGACTGATTCGCTGATCAAGATATATGCTGCATTTTTTCTGAAAGTTTTCCACTGGTCAAGCAATGAGTTGTACTTTAAATGCCCTTTGCAATTGCTGTCAGGCCTCCTTGCAGCAGACTCTGCTCAGTTACTACTAAATGACATCAGGCTTCCTCCAGTTTGGTGGAGCTCTGATGGCAGCCCAAATAAGAAAAGCCAACACAAAAAGAATAAAGAGCTAATTATCATTCAAGTTATCAAATTCCTCCCAATCTAATATTCTCAGGACCTCAGCAGAAACATCTGCTGAGTAATTCTGGAGTCTCTTATGTTGCCCATCAGATGCACATCTTTCGCCATCTGTAAGAACAGGCCTTGGCAGAGTGAGGACACAGGCAGCCATCCCAGAAATGTCATCCTCTAACTGAGGACCCTCTTCCCAGCAGTCTTTCTCAGCATCATAGATGTGGACATAGTCCATGCAGATCCCACGGTTATGAGATCTCCCTCCCAAGACGTAAATCTTGGGGCCCAGGACAGCGATGCCAGGCTCCCCGTGCCCGGCCTGAAGAGGACGGACAGTCGTCCACTGAGAAGTGCTTGGGGCATAGTAAGCAACCTGGTAGAAAACAAAAAGTACAGATTCTGGTCATTTTAGAAAGAAGATTTGAGACAGCTCCCTGAACTTGGGAGTAAGCACTCCTGGGGTTGGGGTTACCTGAAATACCCAGCAGCGTTGTCAAGCTTTTGGGTGCAATCTTGAAAGTGAGGCACTTGCTTTACTGTGAAGTGCAGAAAAGCATAAATGTAATTCTCATGGGATGCCATTCCTGAGGAAGTGGGATGTAAATGCCTGCACATTAAGCTGGGCTGCAGGAACAAGCAGAGCATCCTAATGTGTGCTGACCATCCTGCTGCCCAGTTGGTTCTCTCTCTGGGTCCCTTGCTTGGGTCTTTGGATGGGTGTTGGAGTTCCCGCATTTTTGGGGGCTGGATAACTTTAATTTCCATACATTGGGCCGGGGAAAGCTGTAGAATATATGGCCTCCTTGGTGACCATGGGCTTGTCCCAAGTAATCTTTGGCCAGACATATGCAGATGATCACATGCTACACTTCATGTTTGCCTTGGAGCAGTTGCAGGGTGATACCAATGTGGAGAGCAGTGCATCTAGCCCATTGCTGTGGCCAGATACTTTGTGGTCCAACTGCAATTAACGCCCAAGCAGGACCCTTGCACTATGGGACCTATTAGGAGGGTCCGTCCCAGGCACCTGATGGATCTGGAGCGTTTCTGAAGAGCACTTGGGAATTTTCCCAATGACTTGATCCGCAGTTCTTCTGAGTGCCTCCTCTGGCAGCAGGAGGCAACCTAAGTTTTTGATGAAATTGAGGGGCTCCTTTCTGTCTGCCAATTTGGGGGCATGCCTTAGTTTATTGAAGAGCTCTGGGAGTGCCATAAATAATGCCCAGAGAGGGCCAGTTGAGAAAAATCAAGTGAACCTGATCGAGTGTGGGTAGCCAAGTCTGAGCCTATGATGGGATAACAAGAGAGACAAAGTGTCATTTCCTCCCTGACTGCATTGGCGGACTGAGGGTAGTACATTCCCTCTTGGGATGACCAGGTACATCTGCTTGGCAGCTGTAATTGTTTTGCTTAGCGTTTTGTCAACAATGTTGCTTGGTCCTTACTGGAGCCCACTGTTGTAACCGGGGCGTTCTTTTAGTTTGGTGATCTGGGATTCCTTTTGGCCTGTGGATAGGAAGCTCTTTGATATGACCCCTACCACTTGCAGGCTTCACCCATACCCTCCTGGCTCTTGCATTGATCCAGGGATAGTTAATTATTTGGATTCAGATTAACAATGCTACTTTTAGGGAGGAGGCTTCAGTGAATCTAGAGGTTCTTGATAACTGTAGCCCAATCTCTGACCTTTCCTTTAAACATCTGGTGAGGATTCAGTCACAGAGCACTCTATAGAAAAAACAAATTCTCTGGTTCCTTTTTGGTCAGGTTCAAATCTGGGCATGGGATGGAGACAGCACTGGCTACCTTGTCAGGGCCTTAATGGAGATGGTGCACTTCCCTTGGTCCTACTTGATCTCTCAGCTGCTTTTGATACCACTGACCACGGCATCATCTCCAACTGCCTGATTGTTGGGGTTGTGAAACATTATTACAAAAACCATGAGGAGGAGAGGGGGAAAATGAGGGAAACAGGAAAAAAGGCGGGCTCCAAGCCTCCCACCAAAGCAACAAAGCCAGGCCGCAGCAGAGTGGCCCCTCCCTTTGTGCTCATGTGAGGCAGGCTTGGCTGAAACCCTGTATTTTCCAACACTGATAAGGTTGGGATTTGGGGACATGGTGCTGCAGTGGCTCCATTCCTATCTCAACTGCAAGTTTGGCAAGGGAAAAAGTCAGCCACAGGGATCACTTCTCCCCACCTTATCGCTTATAGGTAGCCACTGAAGGAGGTCATCCAGTGGTCTGGGGTGTGCTACCATCAATATGCTGAAGATAGCTGTATATTTACCATCCCCAGGTTCAGCTGGAGATGCTGTCCAAGTCCTGTCCTGGGATTTTGAGGCTGCTCATCTGGATGGGACAAAACAGGTTGAAGCTGAACTCTAGCAAGATGGAGTTCTCTGCCAGCTCCTTTTTTGTCTCTAGAATACTTGAAGCCAGAGCATGGTGTTTTTCAGTCATGGCATCTTTACTAAGCTAGGCTGATCTTCCAGGAGGCAGCAAAGATCCTAATCTTCCAAGGGTATTTGGGGAATGATTGGGTGCCACGTGAATTAGCTAATTTGTTGGTGTTACATATAGTTTATGATTTCAGGTAATCTATGCAAGTGTTTTGTATGTTTTTGGATGCTCCGTGTTTCTGTATCACTGTAAGCTACTGTGAGTGGCATGCACATTTAATTAACAACATACAAATGCCATTTCCCTCTTAGCCAAATGTTGCCTCACCTGGTGAACGTCTCTTCTATAGCCAGAGTCATTGTTACTGCCTCCAATCACATAGAGCC